CTTTTGCAATTTTACACTCCCAGCAGCAGTTCTAGAAGACATTCAGTGGTCTCTCACTGTGTTTTTAATGGATATCCCTGGAAACGCCAATGACTGTCAGCAGTTTCCATTCATATAATTTTGCAATATGTCTGCTGAAATTATTTGACTCATTATTATTTTTCTTATTATTGTTTGCTTTGAGAGTTCTTCATGCATGCTTAATATGATAGTTTATCAGACACAAAACCCTTTTGTTCTTTGATGGTATCTGTTGCAGTGATTTTCATGAAGTCCAAATTACCAATTTGTTCTTTGGGGTTATGTGTTTGACATTTACCTAAGATATCTCTGATTAAGCAAAAGTTACAAATATTTTCTCAAATTTTTATAGATTATTTGCCATTTCATTTTATTATTTAGCTATAGAACATCCCAAGTAAGTGTTATCTATTTTGTAAGACATTGGGGTAGATGGTTTTATGCAGATATCTGACTTTTCGAAGACTGTTTTCAGTTAAATTGCCCTTGAGCCTTTCTTTACACTCTTTGTTCTTGCATGGGCATGGTTACTGCTGGAATATACTCCATTCTACCAATATATTTGTCTTTTCTTAGACCAATATCAATGAAGTTGTATTATTTTAGATGTACAAAATTTAAAAATATATAAAATCATGTTGTATTATTACTTACACCATTATTTTTGAGTTTTTGGCTGTTCTTGGTTTTTTGCATTACTGTATGAATTATGAAAGTCTTCTGAGATTTTCGACACGATTGTGATAAATCTATATGGTAATTTGTGATAAATTCAAATGTTAACAATATTGACATTACACCCTATCACTTCAACCCTTCTATGTGCGGAGGTCCCCACTACTAAACTTCAGGTTTAGTAAGTCACAGAAAGAACATAAATGCCACTGGTTATAGTCAGATCATTGACTGTGGTTTGTGATAGCAAAAGGATTCTTATCGTAAGTAGGCAAGGACAAAGATTCATGCAAAAGTCAAGGGAAAATCTGGTGTACATTTCCACGGGTCTTCTGCCATGTTTTACAGAATACAGATTATTTTTCCTGCATTTAATTATGGGAAATTGTATAAAATGTGGCCAATGAAAGGATGTCATTAGGGTCTCAGAGTTTGTGGAACATGCCAATATTTTCTGCTTTTAGAATAAAGTGGATGTTTATTGCAATTCAAATGCATACATGCACCATCTATGGCCTACTGAGCCTTGTGAATCAGCCATGACAGGAATCTTCCTAAGGTATAAATTTCAGACTGGAGGTAAAAGCAAATCTTGCTACCAGGTCTTTTTGTAAGAAAAATAGTTCTGGGCTGTTGTACCAATGATTTTGTACCTAAATAAACTGAGAAAAAAGTAAATTAAAGGAAGTCACCTTCTAGAGGTTGTAAAATCATAGTTACATAAAAGGTAAAAAAGCTACAATACCAGTATTTATCTCTTTTATCTGACTTTCACAAGATCTGGGCTAAGAAGCATGCAAACAACTTCTTGATGACTTTATTGAATATTTAATATAAAATTTCTCTGAACATTTAATACCATTATACTACTTCAAAGTATAGAAATAAAAGCTTGTTAGTACTTATAATAAATTATATTACACAGCAGTACGTTTAAATATGCTCAGTTTTTTTCCTGTATTTCAATGTGATTTTTTTAAGTGTAGGTATATGGTTCAAAAGTCACCTAAAGCTCAAGTAAGAAAACATACATCGCTACAGCTGATCCAGTACTTTATTCTGGTTCCTCTTACATTATTTCATGGACCTTAAAATTTATATCAATAAATATCCTACTGATAAATTTAGTCTGAAAATTATTCAAATCACTAAATGTGTCAACTTCAGATACAACTCTTGTTAGACAAAATTATTACACAATAGTCTTATTGATCATGCAAAATACGAACACCAAGAGGAAATCTTGGTATAGCTAAATACCTCCTCTGCTGAATTGAAGTATGATCCTGAATTTTCTACTTGACCTTATCTGAATGGGACAATTCTTGTGAGTTAATGAAAATCTTAATATGGTAAACAACCATTTTAACCTTATTATTTACACAAATTCCACTCTAATAAATGAAAAAGGAGACCTAACAAATAAATCATTTCTTACTTGCTTATTCTAAGTTCATTTCAATTTTTTATCTCTTACGTATTTGCTCTTTTAGCTTTCTGCTTCATCAAATCTTAGCTACATTTAAAAACATCTTTTAGACAGCACTGCTATCTGATTCTTTCAGTGAAACTCATAAATAAAATATGTATATTTATTTATTAAACATATTATACTGTGGGTGACATACCTGAAAACAAAGGTGTCAACCATAGGACACATTTCTGTGTGAGTTTTGTAACCTGGCACTGAGATCAATGGTGTTCTTGCTAAAAACGTTTCACCTAAATCCATTTACAGAGAAAAAGTCCAGTCTTAGGAACTCCACAAAATGAATACATAAATATGAAAAACGAAATCAAAATCTGTGGGTACTGTTTTAAGGGAAAATAAATAAACATAGCAAGTAAATGTAATGTATGTTTCTTGAACAGATCCTTATTTTACAAATAAAATCTGTATGGAATGCTAGTGGGACATTTGGTAAAATATTTATTGTAATAAGTAACACTGTATCAATATCATGAGATAGCGATACTGCCATTGTATTAAAGAATGTCCGTATTCTTAGATGACACTTGCTGAAGAAGCTTGAAATATGATGCCTGAAAGTAATTTTCAAATGATTTTATTTTTAATAGCCCTGTATCACACTCATGGAACTCCGGCCAGCTGAGTATGCGGCCTGGAAGCTGCAGCTGCCCTAGGCAAATTAGTGACTCATGAGACTGCCTCAAAATTTAAAACACAAAAAGGGTATGGTAATGCAGCTCAACGCAGAGACCCTGATTTCATCAAAAGTTGATGGTATATTAAATGAATTTCTGGAGAGTAAAATTGTCATTGGAATAACTTTTAAAATTGAAAGTTATGGACAGAGATTCTGAAACTAAAGTTTAAATAAATTGTTAGGAGCCAGTGTTGGTACATAGTGGCTATATCTAAGTATGTATCCATTAATGTAGAGCTAGATATGAGAATATAAACATTGTGATACAAATAATATTGTGGAGAGAAGGTTTAGAAATGACAGTTACTAAAGTTGTAAAATATGAGGCATACATTTTTTTAGAAACTAAAAAAGGAGAATCAGAGAATACAAGATACGAAAAAGCACAGGCATGGAAGAGAACACGAATCATCACACAGACACACACACACACACACACACACATCTTAGGTACAGTCTGTATAGAAAATAGAGAAAACAGAGGTAAGATGAAGAGTCATTTGAATAAAAATGAAGAAAATTTCCAGCATTTATTAAAGACTATGTGCTCATATTCAGCAAGGTCAACATTTTTGAAGAAAAATTTAATAGAATTTTATACTGGTAAGAATTTATCTCCATCACTATTACTCTGTATTTGCAATAACAACCATAGAAAGTTCATCTCTCAAGTGATTATCTGATCATACAATACACTGGAAAGTTTGATTGCTTTAATAAAGGAGAAACAACAGAAGACAAGTATGCATGGCAAGAAAATTTTCACATGATTATAGTTTTTGTGTAACAATAAAACAAAACCCTATAATTTACAACTGATTCATTTACAAGAGCCCATATAATTTCATATGCTGAAATATGTGGTATTTATTATTTGAATATTAATATTGGAAGCTAATGATTCCAGGTTATGATTCAAGACCCAGAGTCTTTCAATTTTCTATCTTCACTGGAGGACCCAGCCCCAGCGCACTGGTCTCAGTAACACTACCTTCAGCTTGTGGCGCCTTGACAAGAAGACGGTGTGCACCTTATTACTCAAGGGAACTGCTGCCTGGCCCTGTGTTTAGATAAAATGAGCTGAGACATTTCTAATGACAAGCTAGCTTTGGTTTAACAACAACTAAAAAGGAATAAATAATTTGTGAATCTTAGCAAACTTATTCAGATACCAATTAAATCTGAAATTTGGGCCAGCCAAATTTCAGCGGATTAAAGCACCTGCAAGCAGGTGCAGGGGCCAGGGGTTGGATCCCCAGCCTGCTGTGCCGGCCCCGCCCCCAGGGTGGACTGAGATGGCAATTGAGACTGGGCATAGTGGTGCACGCCTGTAATCCCAGCTCTTAGGAGGCTGTAAACAAGCAGATCACTACGAGTCTGATCTAATAGTGAGACCCTGAATATCCTGTCAACCCTTCTTAAAAAAAAAAAAAAAAAAAAAAAAAAGAAAGAAAAGAAAAAAGAAAATCTAAAATTAAAAGCTTGAAATATATTGACTTACTAATTAAAAACTAGCCCTAGATATAGTTAGCCCAGAACATTTCAAAGATGAGTTTTAAACTCTCCTTGTTCAATTTTTAATAAGTTTTTCCAAAATTTATGAAAAAAAGGAAATTCTGACAAGCTCGTATTTTTCAATTATTGGCCATAAAGGAAGTAACATTGTCAATCAAAATATATATCTTTGTAAATTCAAGGATATGTTAATTATTCATCCATATAAGTATTTCCTTTTCACACAGAAATATAATATTGGAAGCTAATGATTTCAGCTTATGATTCAAGACCCAGAGTCTTTCAATTTTCATAGTTCAGAAGCAGTGAAATGGTGCTGCCTTATAGCTAATCATTATTTTTCTTTTCCTTTCTTTTACCATCAAAGAAAGTAGCACAATTATTTCAAAACTGACAGTCATGTTTTAGTTGAAACTGCTTTTCTATCTACTGAGAGATCTTGATATTATATAAATAAATGCACGGTGCTTAAAACAATTTCTGGCTCTTTTTAACATGTATTAACCTTTATTATCAACCTAGTCAATTAATTTCCAGCACATTGGCCTGCTGCATATGTAATTCAGTTCTGAATGTTGTACTGTTAAAGTCTGTTCCACATTTCTCCTTGCTTCTGTTTAGGGTGCTTGGAATTAAAGGAAGACACCATTGAGAACCTGCTCGCTGCTGCGTGCCTCCTCCAGCTCCCGCAAGTAGTGGAAGTGTGCTGCCACTTCCTCATGAAGCTGCTGCATCCGTCCAACTGCTTAGGAATCCGAGCATTTGCAGATGCCCAAGGATGTATTGAACTGATGAAAGTGGCCCACAGCTACACCATGGTAAGGAAATTTAGTATTTAGTAGTAGAGACGAGTGCTATACTATCAGAGGTAAAAAGTAATTACTGTAAAGACACTGACCAACTTTTTCCAACTTAAAATGAGTTTCCTATTGTTGGTATATTATAATCAATAATATGAGAAATGCACATATAATATTTTATAAGCATAAATTGCATATTTACTGCTTTTCTTCCTGTTTTATACTTTACAGGCAATATAGATATTAATACTGATAACTTGGTATGTTAAAAATCGTATAACAAGAATCTTTCATTGCTCCCATCATATCAATTTCTTTATATTCATTTATACTTTGGTCTTTTTATAACTTGTCTTCTGTATTTTTCATTCAACACTTCCATTATAGCATATTGTTCATGATACAAATTGAGATTTGTAGGGGAAAACCTGAAAGTTGTAGTGTATATTGTGTAGTGCTTATGTGTATGCATTGAATAAGAGCTTCTGGAACTCTATATTGGGAATATCTGTTCAAATGTAAAACATTTAGATATATAAAAGAATCTACACTTTACAAATTTGAGTTTCACTACTAATTTCATAGTTCAAAATTCTTCACTGAGTGTTTACTACTCCATAAATATTCTTAAAGTACCTTAAACTTTCTTTATATTTGTCTTTTTTATTTCCTTTCATAAGCATATGCCTTACAGACTATAAAAGTCACTCCCATTATATGATTTAAATGTGTGACAATTATAATAAGAAGCTTATTTTTTCCTAATTTTCATGCTAAAAGAGTAATCAGTTCAAAGTTTTTGATGTCTATCATATTTTACAGTTCAAAAAAAATTTTTGCAAAAGCACTTCATACATATCCTGGCTTAGAGTAAACTCTATGTAAATGGTCTCTGTCTTTCTTCTCATTTTAATGTTATTTATACTGTTAAGAGTTTGATTGTTATTATTAAAGTAACCAATCTTAAAATATTACAGAATGTTTCCTTTCTAAATCAAAGAAGAGGTTATCTGAGATCAATTTAATTAATCTTTATGGTTTCTACTTATGTCTAGATACAGACTTTGAAATTTAGTGTTTCAAAATTTTAATGAGACTCAAACACTTAAAAGTATTCTAAATGTTGTTCTTAAACATAGTTTCAATATTATTCTTATTTTATTCTTTGATCCTTTAAGCGGATTAGTAAACTAGATGAAAATTTAGAAATGAAAAGAAGATTCATTTATAATTCTGTTGTCAAATTCTTCTTTAGAAATATTTCCTGACAGAATACAGCCCTACTTTCGAAGCTTTGTGAGCCATACAAAATCAATGTAAACAAATACTCCATTAACCAAAATATTGAAGTCCAACTGCTGTCATTTAATTAGGCACATTTCATCACAATTACAGACTTCAGGCTTAGCCAAGAGAAGGAACAATATGCTTCCATATCCATGGGGAAAATGGTCCCTTCTGCTCCAGCTTGAAATTATTAATTTGGTAATAAAACTGTGTTACTTGCAGCTGCTTGGACTTTTCTGTATTTTATTATACAATACCAACAATACCCTTCTAAAAAGACTTGAAAAGTGTACTCTAAAAGAAAATGCATTTACAAGAGAAATGCAGAAGACACTATATTCTACATGGACTTTTAGTTCTTTTAGGATTAAATTATATATGTTTTGTATAACGTGTTAAAATGATGTCAAATTATTTGAAGATATGAATCACCTATATCCTCTCATTTCTAATGGTAATATTTTAGAGAAGAAAAGTTGCTATACATTTTTTGTGAATCTATGTGGTTTGTTACATTTCAAAATTAATATTCCGCATCTATTATTTTCTTATCATGCATTTTCTTCTGATCTTGTCTAATCAGCCAAATGTCTTCATCTAACTTATGTAATCTGTTATTTAAAAGTAAACTTGTACTATTTTTGTTTTTTAAACTGTTTTAGCAGCCAGTCATCTCAATTTTCCTACTAAATCCTTTTTTTTTTTTTTTTTTTTGTGGAGTTGGGGATTGAACTCAGGCCCTTGCGCTTGCCAGGGAAGCGCTTATTCTACTGAACTATCTCCCCAGCCCCACTGAGCTATCTCCCCAGCCTCCCTACTAAATCCTTATAGGATTAACTTCGTTGCTTCTTCTAAACTTTTGTTTCATTGTTAGATATAAAATCACAAAACAGCATTTATATTGTATAATTTTTAATATTCTTGCTAAAAATTTTAGATATGAGTTTGATGTTCCATGTCCACATCTTACATCACAGTCTTTATTCTTTGACTATCTTTACAGTTTATTATCTTTTCCCTGAAACTTTTGCTCATTTTTACTTGGCAAGTTATGGATTTTGTATGCATGATTCCAACATTTAGGAAACGTGACTTGGTTTTGAAATGGTTAATGTGCAACATACTGTAAAATTTTGATTGTAAGACTACCTATATTGGACAGAGGTGTGAAGCTAATTATAAAATATTGGCTTAATTTTGGCTTCATGAGTATAAGGATAACACAAAAAATAATTGAAGTGAATAGTCGTGTTGTGCTGTATTAGATTTCATTTCAGACTTTTGCTTAATTGGATGTCACTTTTAAAAGCAATATTATCACAAACAATAATATATGGGAATAACAACAATTGAAAACATTTTGCAACCATGTAAAATACGAAGAAAAATTGAAAAACTATACTGCCGGTAGCTTAATGAAATTTGAGCATGGCAGTAGCTCTCTTCATATGCTTGATAGAATGGATTTAAGTTTAAATTAGTAGAATTTGTTTCTCATTCTGTTTTTTAGCAAAATTATCAGTTTAAGTTAAATATTACATGAAAGTTTTATAATTCTTAATTCATAAAGAGTGTATAAAAAAAGGATGGAATGTAGGGTCTATCTCAGTCTTCTGCCAGTCACCTCTCTGCTGGGAGGTCTATTTCTACCAGTCATCATAACCACTCCCCTCCAAGATGAGCTCTGCCTTTTAGAGGAAATGCCTAAAACTTCATTTTCCCAGAAATTCTAGTAATAGTTTGCCCATAAACTGCATTTGTTGAATAGAAAAATCATTTTTCTCTATAGCCCTTCCAGGGCAAATATGTAAGCAAATGAACAGGTTAAATTACTTCCAAATGAGCTCTTAAAATCTTTTTCTTTCACTGATGCAGACTGAGACAGCTTAGGGGAGATTGCTGTAGCTTTCTGGGGTAGGCAATGATTTTGTGCTTTTGAGAAAAAGTTCCCATTGAATAGGAGTTTGAGATCATTAATAGAGCATTTTCTGAACATTATTTTCTACAGGATTTCAAAGCTATTTGAACTTCCATTTCCCTGTCCACAACTTTTCTGAATTAGAACATAGAGTGTTTTTTTCCTAATCAATAGACTTTCCTAATCAACATGTCACATTGGAGCACTATATTCTCATAAATAGTTCCTCTACAGTCTGTTTCTCAGGTACTATCTAAGCATTTTTCTCAAAATTAAATAGAGATACATGTGGTGTATTAGCTTCCTTTCCATTTCCCTCAAGTATTTATCTTGAATCCCTGCTGTGCATTCCAGGTAATCCTTGTTTGTGGTTTGATTTTATCCATGGCAAAGCAATATCTTTAAGCTTTCTATGACATTATCTTCTTATAACTATGTAATCATATACTTCCTTTTATTATGGTAATTTTAAATCTGAATGATCTACAAAAACATAATACACACTTTTTGCTGGCATAGAACAAGTCTTCTCCATTGATGTTTTTTTCTCCTGACAAAGTGCCTATCATATTGTAATATTTCTATTTTTAACCCTAAGTAGAGTTGGGTGTTCTTAAAGGATTGTAAGTCTCATCAGTCTTGAAATCACTCTCTTAACAAGACTTAATGTAATTTCCTTCTAATATTCTTTCCAACACGTTTCATTTCTATTATTTTCCCTTGCTTGTACAGTTTAGGTCAAAATATTTTAATTTTTTTAGTACAAGCATAATATGACTTGAAAACTTTGTGCATGACCTCAATTTCTTCTTCCAGAAATACTGTTCTACCAAAACTTAATGTCTCTTCGTGTGTGTCATTTAGACCTCTGCTGAAATGTCACTTCTACTAAGATCTCTTCTCTGTATTCTGTATTTAAAGTGGCAATTTCTTTAAAACTTCCTTATGCCTTGAACTATTTTATAGTCTTTATAGCCCTTATTATTTCCTAGATTTATAATATATATTACTTATGTATTTTTGTTGTTGCCTACCTGTCCATTTAGATAATAGCTTTAGGCAGGAATTTTGATTTTTTTGTTTGTATGTTGTAATAGTGGAGACTAAACCCAGTGCCACTTTCTTTCTGTCTTTCTTTCTCTTTCTTTCTGTCTTTCTTTCTTTCTTTCTTTCTTTCTTTCTTTCTTTCTTTCTTTCTTTCTTTCTTCCTTCCTTCCTTCCTTCCTTCCTTCTTTCCTATTCCTTCCTCTTTTTCTTTGGATGGAGTCTCATCAAATGACTAAATTGTCCAATTTGTCTAGAGTTTGTGATCTTCCTGCCTCAGTATGCCAGAGTGGTGGAATTAGAAATGTGTGTACTTTGTACTATGTCAGGCAATAATTTCTTTTTATATTGCTGTAACCTAAGTAAGTGAATAAATGATTGCCAAGTGCTTTCGTTATTCAATAAATAGTGAACTAATGAAGAATTATTGACTAGCACACTGGGTACCCTAGTTAGCTGCTCTGGTAATGTACAAAAGAACAAAAGAGAAACGTTATTGCCCTTAGAGTCAAGCATCCATAGAGATTATGTAGTCTTAGGCACAGATTATAGCATAGGCATGGAAATAAATGTTACAGAGGAAAATGATAATTCTATGAAAGAATCAAGCATGAAAAGCCTTTTAAACTAATGATTAGACTGAGTTTTAATGGATGATGTGGAACTAGTAGAAGAGTTGACGAAGAATATTCATAATCTGAAGTGAGAAGAAGATTGCTCTGGTTACTAAAATTGATGTCAGATGGGACAGTAAAGACGGTGGACCAAT